ATTTGTTTTTTGGCGTTGGTTTTTATTTATTTATTTTTTGATTTTAAAAATCTTATATAATTTATGCGGTAATTAAATGCAATATACTGTAATGCACGCTGAAAATTACATACCTCTACCACAAATACCGTTTGGAATAAAGCTGTTATTTATTATTAAATTGTCTCATCGTTTGTCTCTGAAGAAAAGAAGAAGTGAATTCTTTGGTTTTCTTCTTACCATCCAGTGCTCTCCAATGAGTGGACTAACTGTCCTATTTCCAGTTGTACCTACCAGTTCTTTTACTCCATTGGAGCAAGATTTATAGATTGTTCATTGAGTGTTTTGCCTGAAAGATTCAAGCAAAATTATGCTAAGTGACTGCAAACAGGCCACAGTGGGTTAATACGGAGTATATTTTCAACACTGGTCACCCATTGTTTAAAGACATCTCGTTCAAAGTCATTTATTAGGTTAAAAAATGCCTACTGGAAAAAGCAGTTTCCGTGTTCTTCTCGCTGCCGTTTGTATCTAAGACTGTAATTTGTACACACGCTCACTAGTATTGCTTTTTCAACTAACCTTTTATTGAATTGGTGGATGGTGACTAGCAGTAGAATCCATGATGCGCATTTCACCCTGTTTGGGACTCGTCATCTGGATGTACCTGCATTCCGCAGTGAGTGATGTTGTTCCCACTGAGGCTTAAACCCCAGGGTCCGACATGTCAACTTGAGACCGAACACTTTGGTCCAATCAATCGATGGGAAAATTTAAAATTGAATTAATCCTTTTATTTACTATTCATAAATGTTTTGATGGTCTGAACGATGTTGAAAACTGTTTTGACTGATTGAAGATATTACTGTATAGCACTGTCAGATTTTCTCAAAATAAAATTGCCTCCATAACAGAATTATACCCTATCACAGCGCCCAAGTTCTATTCTTATACGACTGAAGATGCACATTAAAAAGCTGGTTAATGAACAAAGAATATTCTTTCCGTTAAATTCGTCTCCAGGTTCTACATTTATATGACCACAATGATTAAGGAGTTATTGATATTAACAACATTAATGTTTCAAATTACATAGAATCAATAATATCGATTGATTAAATTTCAAAAGCATCAGTAGGTGGTAATATACATCAATGTAACACAACGCTGAGTTTAAGGTAAACTAAAAGAAGTAAAATAAAAACAAATTTTATTTCGTCAATTCCATTGAAGACGTCAATGTTTTCAATCAAACCATGTTCTTACTAGATGTGGTATCAGTGTTTACAAACGTCCCACTAACCGAAACAATATGCTATTTATGTGAATATATATTGACTCAAAGCAGACGAACATCAGTATACCTACTGAATATTTGAAGGAATTCCTATTGAGATGCACCCTAAACGTTCAATTCTCTTTCAATAACCATATATCTATATATATCGACAAAAAAGACGGTATAGCTGTGGGCTCGCCATTCGGCCCGTTGCTCGCAGACTTTTTCATGTCAAAACTAAGTAAGAAGCACACATCTAAATAAAATGATTGACAACTTTGGATTCTACAACTTACTAACTTTCACAGATGGGCTCCTCTACGAACAAAACTAAACCAGATCCATTCAATGAACCACAGAATTCGCAGCATTTGCAGTTGTGATACTGCAGAAGAGAAGCTAAATACTCTGAAGAGAATCTTCATAGAAAACGGCTACCCAGAACGTTTTATCACAAAATCTATGAAGCCTAAACCACCAAACCGCCTACATTGTCTGCTCCCAAAAAACTGCTTTACCTGAATCTACAATTCAATGGAGATTTATAAGCAGAAATACTGAGAAACTACCTGTCCTGCTCACTGAGGAAAACCTTCTTCGCGGCTGAACTTCGACTAACCTTCTCCACAAAACCAGTGATTCGCGTGAACTTTGGCCTCATCAATACGCATCTACCAATTTACCTACACGTTTGTAGCTACGGAAGGTCGGCTATCCAAACGTATCACCGAACACTTACCCTCATGGTTTCAAAAAAGGAGTAAGAACCCCTCTACAAAGCTCTATTCTGGAACACCTGATCGAATCACAACACCAAGAAAACCCGCAAAATAACTTCAAAGCCATCTAAGGAATACACGAGAAACTTGTCAACAGGGTACGAACCAAACTTCTTCAAACCACAGAAGCAATGGCAATCCACATATTAAAACCTGAACTCTGAATACAGAAGAAGCTTCTTCAGTCATTAAATCTACAGTGGACTTGACCTATCTTAACACCAATTGCATAACGTTTTTCGCCTTTCGTTTCACTTGTTTGTTTCTTAGTTGTATAATATTTTTCCCTACCCTTTATTACCATTGGTGTTAACTTGACTTTAGTTCAGTTAATTTTAATTTTAGCTGAGCTCTACTCAACTCCGTCAATTAGATTACGTCATTCAACTAACTTGCTCATTTAATCCTAATTTAGTTTCTAACCCACTGACGAAATTTGTTATCTCGAAAACTTACACTTCTAATAATTATACTTAAGTTTATACCTGATTAACGCTCTCTCTATTACGTAATTTGTCAGCTGAAATTTACAATTCTCGTGACAAATTCTTGAAATATTCATTTTGTTACTAAGAGAATCAGCTAGCTGTATATATGCGACTGTACAACACATGAGAATGGATATCGCGGAAAAGAGTAACACTCTTCGCCGAGCGTCTGTTGTTTTATAATATTAGATTTTTTTTCATGTCTATTTATGCATATTTTTGAATAAATTCTGGTGGGTAGTTAGTTAGTTATTCGCTACCAATACTTCCTTTATTTGTTCGATTTCATTATTTAAATCCTCCTCCAGCTCACTAGTTCGGCTGTTGGCCCGATTATACAGAAAAAACTAATCCTATGCTTCTTAACCGCTTCTGGATGGGATGAATTAAAGGGTCTAATTATTTGTTTGAGTGTGTGTCAGTCTCCTATAAATCCCAGCGAGTATCTAACCCACCATCTTGTTTTGTGTTTTACCCTGTTCATTTTCCAGCTGACAAGTGAATTGGATTCCTATTGGATTGCTATTGAGTTGATATGTGTGTGTGTGTGTGTGTGTGAAAAAATGAGGGATACGTTCAGGTGTCAACACAGTGATGCATGGAATGTGTTATCCACACATCTCCACCACAACCAAGGTGGAGCACGATTAAAAACGTGGCTGTCAACAGATTAAAATCTGAAGACATTATTCCCCCTAGAGAAGCAGCAATATGTGTGAAATAGACAAAACTTCTGCGGAACAAGTCAGAGCACAATGTGGCTTGACACTAAAAACTGCAGAAGAAAGGAAAAAGCAATGTATTACAAAACGAAATAGCAGCTCTAAATGCTTCAGAAACGACAAAATAGCATAGTGATCACAAAATTGGACAAGGGAAATACGACAACAGTAGTCATGGACAAATCAGAATACATAAACAAGGTCAGTCAACATATTAAAACAGGACCATATGAGGAAGTTAAAAAAACTTGTGGACACTATTATCAATAAAATAGAAAATTCTACTAAGTAATCTAGTACTGGCTGAATGATCTTTTTCCATATAAAACTTTGCGCATATGTGCAGCAGTTCACCTGCCACACTCCTTCCTTGTACCCCACAGAGCGAGCGGAGAGAAGAGAAAGCTTCAAAGCAGATATAATAAACAGAGATATGAGGCAAAAGATTGGTAATATGGAAGAACAATTGAGTTTCATTGGATGTGACAAATCACAAGTAGTAAATGCATCTGCACCAGACATCACTGAGAACCATTTCGAGTTATATCACCAACAACTGTCTTCAGCCATCTGTGTTTACCTTCCCGAGGACCCCAACCAGTCAGTCAGGAAGTCTATACCTCCATACATGGCCGGCTTAAACTAACTGTAGTAGTGGATTTCACTGACTGATGAAGACATGTTTTGGTTTGACCATCATGTGCTACCTACTCTCCAGCCTGATAAGTCAGCTAACATTGGTCATCAGTGAAACTTTACAAGTTCGTCGATTGATTTCCTTTCCTGGTCTAACACTTGGCGCCTAACTTCAATATTCCTCACCTCATTCTACCACCTAAACTAGCAATGGAGATAGAATGTAGACACCTATGATCAGGGACAGCTAGTCTTTGCATGTCTTCTTACTTACTTTACTTCGGTTATCTCCTATGGGAGGATGAGCCGGCTTCATGAACCATGAAGTTTCATGGGAATTGGGTACGAGTGATGTCCCCAGCATCGCTCAGCCTTTTGTTTGAGAGTGCAGCTCCAGCCTTTACACAACCAAGTGTGACCTACAAGGAAGTAGGAGTGGAGTAGGGAGAGACTATCCATTGGCAGCCGGTGACCGGAGTCCGGTTCATTCGCCTTTTTGAATGGGGCCAGTCATCCAGGGCATCCAATAAGTCCTTTGTCCATACGTCTGCCGGTGAGCTTCATACGCCAGTCGTTGGAGGTTTGGAATCAGGGTTTAGCCATCTCCCCTAGACTGTCATCCAATGGACAGTCAACCCGGTGAAGAGCGCGGGGCATCCGCTTTTGCCCTCTCACTTTGGTAAAAAACACCTCCGCCACGTGAAGGCAGTGAGTAGTACTTCCTCAGGAGAGGCTATGTAAGACGCCCGGTTATATGGGAGCATTTCAAGAGGTGTACGGAGGGGTGGCCAACCCGCAGCGCAATACACCCACCCCCGACCATCCTGAGGCTTTGCATGTCTTCCACTTTCAGTGTCATTTTCTCAGAGTGATAGAGGAGGACGGAGCGAAATGGTGAGCGCCTAATTTAGGCGCCATTAAGCGCGGAAACGGAGAAAGGTTAAGATTAACAACCCTATCTATTATAAAGGAAATACTACTGTGCTGTTGAAACGTCAAAGCTGAAGCCTGAAACTCTATATTCTACTGGGAATGCTAAGCAATAAAATTTCTGAAAGACAATAAATAATAAAGCATGGTGAATACATATTCAACAGGTCGATAAACACAGTCTTACTTCTTGGAACTACCACAGACTTTCCCACTTGGTTCTTTTCTTTCGCCTCAGTTGGACTTTTGGGCTTTATCACATCAACTGAAATATACAAAAAGTTTTAAGAGATTAACATTTTACATCTAAATAACACTTGACAATCATAGTTAGTTCTACCAGATCGATATAGCTGGGCTGGTTACTGTACAAGGTGCAAGCCACCTACTTTGATCTATTAAAGTTCGTGCTCTTTCACTTCCAAAGCAAAAAAGCGGTTCAAAACTGATAGATACTTAGAATTTAGAGAATTTACACGTATATATATATATATGAACTGGTTCTACGCGACTTATGTATTAACATGATAGCATCAAGCAACGATGGATGGTATTGTCGAACACATCACGAAATAGATATTTTGGTTCCCGAATAAACCAAGACCAACAGGAAGCCACAAGGGAAGATACATTGTCGACACAGAGACTTCAAGAGACAATCTCACGCCACTAACGTGGGTACCGAATGAAGTAATTAAATCTGACAGCGATTGGAATAATGGCTACCATCTAAAACTGAGTTAAAGTGTGATACAATCCCATTCAAGAACAAGTGTGAAATCATGCTACCTACCTCTACCTCAGACAAAGTATCAAACTACATCATACTGGAAAGACTGAAAGGTGTCAAGCATGGAAGGCTTCACAGGGAATAGACCGAATTCAGCAAGAAAAACTCCATTTGCGGACTAAATTGCAACACTACGCATCATCATCGAACACTGTTCAGAGTCACAGACAACTCTTCACATTAACCTCATCGATGTGGTTCGGAAACTGCATCAACATTAGAGAGTACCACAAACGTCTATAAACGTTATTCAATTACTATTATGACGATGCCAAAGATAAAATAATTCACAACGTAAAGACAACCGGAAAGAATCTGAAGTGAAAACAGAAGCAGGACAAGGCCACCCTCTATCATCTATCATCGTCCTGATTGTGGTCGACTGGGTCACGCAACAGACAATGGAGAGTGGAAGACAGGTATACACTGGAATGACAAAAAGACACTAGATATGAATTCCACAGATGATTTGTCTCACGTCGCACAAACTAGAAGACATACAACAGAAAAGGAACAAGTTGGTAAAAGACAAGACTTCACATGATGGAAATACCCAACCAACGGTACAGATCAAAAGGAAGCCATGTAGTTAACTAATCTTGTCAGTCATTTTAACTACATGGATTAGGGTATCAAAACCAGGATTGACGTCCATCACTCCTCAATAAGTGTGGTGATATACAACAGTTAGCAAAACGACAAAGATACAAATTTATGAGTCTATTACCATGTCAGTGATTCTAGAGCACGAATCACTAAAACATTTGCAATAGGATACTGACGCCTTTCACCGAAAACTGTGTCAGCCTGGCAGTGAAGATCAGATGACTACCAAAAGACAAAGGGAATGGAATTCACACAACGAAACAGGTAAAAATCTGTTGCTCAACAAAAACTACAGGAGGAAAAGGATTGAGCATACTCCAAGAAAACTTCCTTGTAACACTAAACTTCAGGTCCTCTAATATAGCCCAAATAGGTAGCAACAAGTTGGGCGACCGTAGGCAACATGAAGATCATGTGGAGAAGTAAAAGGCTGAGTTTTCACAGAATCAAATGAAAATAATAACAGAGAACCGACTTAGATGCTGATGTGCCACAAAAACTTCATGTTTCTCTCAGAGTAAGAAATGAATAATAATACCAATAATGTGTTTAATTTATATCACATACAAATTTAACACACCTAAAAAAGAATTACCTGTTCCAACCTCAATTTTACAGTCCCCTTGTTTTATTGAGTTCCATGACCTTTCCGACATTAGTATATGACCTGGAAAATACAAAACGTTTTAAAAAATCAAATAACATCGGCCATAAGCTGGTGTCTTCTAACACATATCTTGACCAGGTCGATCAAGTTGTGGGATCGATATATTTCACCATCACGAGCTGTTGTGCAAGATACATGTATCTGCAGATCATCCATCTGAATCTGTCAGCGTACAAATGTTAACTTTCAAAATTAGACGCAAACTTAAGACTAACCGCTGTTCTACTTATTCCAAAACTGAGCTTGAGAATCGATTAGTTAGTGAATGTGGTAACACATTCAAGTACAAACTGGTTTCCTGCTATCCCTTATAAGTAAACAACACTGCAGGATGTTCGGCCTACCCTTCTATTATTTTCACGCCAACTTAAAAATCATTTCGTAGTGTTTTGAATCCTTCATTGCTCTGCCAATGGCAGAACCTTCGGTTCCCCCCCCCACAACACTCTCCGGTTAATAACTTGCCCTTTTGTTGCTTCTCCGTTGTAAAAGAATCCGACTTGAAGTGATGCACATTCTTAGAGTATTTGAGGACGCTTTAGCCATGTTATCAACATTATCTCAAGAATTAAACAAAGATAAAGTGATAAAATGACACAAAATAAGAGCTGCTCCAACTACACTGAGCATATGTGTGGTATTGTTTGAAAGTGTCACATAGATGGGTTTGTGTTACCTGTAATATATTATGTGGCTCAGTTGACTCTGCGAATAAACGACGAGTCAGATCAGCCTTAAACACAGTCTAGCTCTATCGGTCAATGCATTAAGGTGACGACACAAATAATAAGCGCAGCTTGTATATTGCATATAATATTCTCAGGAGTAAGGGTTCACTTGAAAAAACCCACGAGTGACCTTGGTGCTCCCAGATATGCGTCCTTTTTCTGCTGACTGCTTTCTGAACAGCGACCTATGGGACGATGACTGTCGTGTTGATGCCTCCGCGAAAATTGCGGAAATTGGTTTTGAGCAAACAACCAAGAATTGATCGTTCAATCTTCAACTACATTGACACTCCCCGGCAAAAAACGGATCCATCCCTGTTTTCCATCACGACCAATACACATTGACTTGGATGCCATTGCGAGAACCTGGGTCACACGGACAGAGCTGAAATGGAAAACAAACAGAAAAGCCAACACACCACAAGCATACCCACAGAACAATCTCACAACTCAATGACGACCTGCGCCTCCAGACAGAGACCTCCTCTTGACATCTTGCAACACAATCTCCACTTCCTAGAATGACTCTCGCAGAATGCAACGTGACCATAGCACCAACTCATGATACTCCACGCACGTTCTCGTATCTACTCACTACCAATTACCACTGCAATCGCTTGTCACTCATTCTGCCTCAGTTCTAGTAACGGTGACGTATGCGAGCCTCAGTCGTTTACACTCTTTCTCCCCGGCGTGTCGGACCGCAGCTAACAATTATCTCCGTGTGCATTTCATTCTCAGCAATAGCCTAGCCTCCCCGGCGTATACGCCCCATCTGCTCTCCTTAACATCAATCAATTCATTCATGGATGTAGAAGACTCGAAACAACTTCAGAAGTAATCACGACGAAAATTTTAACAAAATTACGCAATAACAACAAGATACGAAAACAACAATTAAACACAATGAATGCAAAAAACAATTGATATGACACACCACACATATATACAAACTGTACACAAAAACTCGCGGATCATGTCTTGATGGAATTCCTTTGAAGAAATGCAGGACTTAAACCTGTAGGCCTACAACCCTTCTCACGTTGACGATTGTAGGTTGTGGAATCTCCGGACGCAAACAAGATTAACCAACAATTAAAATGATTGGAACTAACACAATTATTTAACACAAACATATGTACAATCACTACATCAAATGTTGTGGATTCCGGCATGACAAACTACCCTTGAAGAACTGTAGGACTTACATCAGTACGCCTACATTCCTTCTCAGGTTGATCATCCAAGTGGAAGTCGTCCGGACACAAACAGAATTGCCAACAGCTAGATGACAGATGATGTCAATTCAGTATATACAATATGAACATATGTACAAAATCACACGCCAAGCACATTGGACTGCTCATTGATGCGGTACCCTTTGAAGAACTGTAGGACTTACAGCAGTACGTCTACAACCCTTCTCAGGTTGACGCTCTAGGTTGGAAAATCGTTGCAGAGTTCATTTGCTAACTTCCTTCTATCAGCTATATCCTCAAATCTGAACGGCAAAACGCTCATGTCATTGTGTCGTAGAATATAGATGACGAACAAACACACGACGTATGTGGTCAACCAAGCGTAGGCACAGAGCAATTTACACCAAAGATAATAGCATTCAAATAGTAACTTGAAACTAGAAATGCCTTTATTCATGCAAATCAATTTAACAATTACTCTCTCGTTTACACTTGGCTTATCCTCACGAAACTGAGCAATATCTTTCGTCCCTTCAAATGCACCAATACTATCATAGTCACTGCACAAGATACTTGAGTTGATGTGCGTCGGTTTCATTGTGGATGACAACACCAACGACGACTGAGTGATACCAGTTGATGAACTTAGCGGTGGATCAGAAGCTGTTCTTGTTCGGCTTTCAGATAGTTGTCTGACTGCAAGATTACCACCACTGCTGTCTTTCACTACTAGTTCGGGTTTAGAACTATCATCTGATGATAGGTGGACTACACGCTGATCAATTACACAGACGGTCTGACAAGTATGCGTGCCTTCTGCAACTGAATCTGCATTTATTTCTAATTCACCTTCAAGTTGTACAGAACCTTTGTTCAACTTAGCAGTAGTAGGCATATCCCTCATCTCATCATGATCGACCAAAGACAAATCTGCACTATCATGATCATTATCACAAATATTCAATTTACCATCATCTATCTGGTCGACTTCATCATTTTCAAACTCTTTAATAACAGCAGTAGATGATTTGGGTTCTTCCTCACAAATCCCTAAAGATTTTATACCTTCACTCTGACTAGAAATACCTTGTAAACTTGTGGAGTCAGAACTGTCCTCTGAGACTGTAACTCTCTTATGTGACACTCTATTCAACAACGGCTTACCAGTTGCAACTACAGACTTCTTGACCGCACCGTTATCGTCACACAATTCGGAGTCAGACCTGGATTTCACATATAGCTTATCGTTAAACTTGCTTGCCGATTCACAGCTCACCTTTGTATGCACCTCCTGCAAACGTGTAAAACACAACCGTGTTTGTCTTGCATCTTGTAACTTATATGTTGAGGATGTACTACGGAACCTGTTACACTCACTAGGTCTATATGCAATACTAGACACCATAGATCCTTCTCGATATCCACCTCTCTGAGGCCTATTCGTCATCAATGATTGTGTTTTTCCCTCAGACTGCTCTATTCTAGGGGCGGGATTCAATATACTGGCAAACTTGCTCATAGATTGATTGACACTATTGTTTACTAATTTCAGAATATCATTAAACCTTGGCTCGATACCCTCATCCTCCATGCGGGAGCTTATTTTTACCCACTTCCTTTGCAGTCGAGTAGGTAGGCGTCTCGCTATTACTTCTGGTATAAAACTCGAGTTGAGGTCACTCATGCAATTCATCGAAACCAATGCATTCTTGTAAATCAACAGATTATCCAAAAACTCAGTAAGTGCCTTGGAGTCATCATGTAGTTGACTGCCATTACCCTTAACAGCCTCGAATAATTTCTCTACAATCATCGAAGGTCTTCCAAATCTTTGACGTAATATGCTCATAGCCTCAGCGTATCCCTCATTAGGGAGCATGAGCTTACAGCACTGTATAGCTCTTGAAGCATCTCCAGTGCAATACCTCATCAAATACATCAATTTCAATTCATCACTTAATAAAAAACTACTCAGCATGATCTCAAACTCCTTTACGAATTGCAAATAATCAGCCGGGTTTCCATCGAAACACCGTGGTTCAAATTTAGGGAGTTTGATGTTCCTATTATCCCTGAACGGCGAAACAGTAACATCAACCATGTCATGCTTAACATCAGACACATCGTTACAATTAACAGACAAGTCACCATGACTTACTTTCCTGTTTGCATCCAAGACGTTCTGTCCCTTCTTTCACCCAGGCATTATTGAACTTGACCGAATACCAAAAACGTTCCGGATATTGCTTGTTCAAAGAGGACTTGACCGGCACCAGGAAAGATGAACAGTGACTATTCGAACTGTCACCAACTGTCTGAATCCGTCAGAATTTGTTTCCACTGTCAGAAACAGTCAGCCACGTCTCGCACACCGTTAATGCCCAGCTCTTGCTGCACTCGGGCTCACGCTGTTCCTTGAAGTTTCTCAGAAACGCTTAGTAATAACGAACGCAAAAACCAAACCACCAATTGGCGACTCCAGGATTCTTTATTGTAACACCAACATATAGCCAACTTTACAACTAAGGTCTGTGAACAAATATTACAATAATAAATCACAAGATTACTTCTGAAGGTTTACTGCTGACTTCTTTCTGAACAGCGACCGATGAGACGATGACTGTCGTGTTGATGCCTCCGCGAAAATTGGGGAAGTTGGGTTTGAGCAAACAACCAAGAATTGATTGTTCAATCTTCAACTTCATTGAGAATGGTGTTTTAGAGGTTGACGAAATTCTCGTACACAGCCTCTAAATTATTTTGGCGTACCAACAACAAAGCAAGAGCCAATATTTGATCGTCCAAACTAAGTGATATATTTCGGGACCAAAACAAGCCTTCAGACGAACGCTTATCTAGCTAGTGATCGTGCACGTTACACGGCGGAGTACCAAATGGCGGGGATGCTTGACCGGAAGCCTTCATCTAAACAAGTCGACTTAAACAGTGGTTGTAAGATCAATTCTATTCCCATCCTTGAATCAAGTCAACCTGTCCCGGATCAGCCTAGCGTTGTTGCAACTTAATTATCCATGTCTAACGTGTCTATCCCTGCTTGTTTA